TTTGGGCGCTGCTAAATGTGTGCCAGACGTCAATTTGATTATTAATTTTTTTAAAAATTCAAATCATTTTAGTCCGTCTGAAATTTTAATATTATGTTCGTTAAGGGTAAAAACACATATAATTAATTTGCCAGACGTTTCTGCGGTTGTTCACCATGTCTGGCAATCAAAAATGTCTGGCAACATTATACTAGTTTATAGCATTTTAGTCAGTCCAATTTTCATTTTTTGACTTTGAATGGGTTATCCAGATTCACATTTTTATTGCTAGACATTTTGAGCGCTGCTAAATGTATGCCAGACGTCAATTTAATTATTAATTTTTTTAAAAACTCAAATCATTTTTATCCGTCTGAAATTTTAATATTATGTTCGTTAAGGGTAAGAACACATATAATTAATTTGCCAGACGTTTCTGCGGTTGTTAACCATGTCTGGCAATCAAAAATGTCTCGCAAAATGATACTAGTTTATAGCATTTTACTCAGTCCAATTTTCATTTATTGACTTTGAATAGGTTATCCAGACTCACATTTTTATTGCCAGACATTTTGGGAGCTGCTAAATGTGTGCCAGACGTCAATTTAATTATTATTTTTTTTAAAAATTCAAATCATTTTAGTCCGTCTGAAATTTTAGTATTACGTTCGTTAAGAGTAAAAACACATAAAATTAATTTGCCAGACGTTTCTGCGGTTGTTAACCATATCTGGCAAGCAAAAATGTCTGGCATATGATACTAGTTTATAGCATTTTAGTCAGTCCCATTTTCATTTTTTTACTTCGAATAGGTTCACCAGACTCATATTTTTTGTTGCCAGATATTTTAGGCGCTGCTAAATGTGTGCCAGACGCCAATTTAATTATTAATTTTTTCAAAAATTCAAATCATTTTAGTCAGTCTGAAATTTTAGTATTATGTTCGTTAAGGGTAAAAACACATAAAATTAATTTACCAGACGTTTCTGCGGTTGTTAACCATGTCTGGCAAGCAAAAATGTCTGGCAATATGATACTAGTTTATAGCTGTATTTATCAGATAAAGTCTGTTCGCATAGGCATTATCTTTGACCAATATTTTTTTCTTTCTATCAAAGATTGTGAACGTTCAAGACGAGAAGAAGCTAATAGGCCAATATCAATTGGACCTAACCAAATTCGACCTCATAATTTTAAAGCAGTACTAAAAATATACCATTTAAGGAAGCACTAGTTAGCTTTTTTATTAATCACTGGGATAGTGAAGATATGGTTCCTTCCATTGGCAATAAAATTATTTACTCAAGTTTTGATAAATGTTATTCATATAAAGTTTTCAATAACAAAGTAATTAAGACAATTGAATAATCATTGTCATGTGAAATACACGAAGAAGCCGATTCTAGGATTATTTATCACATTAGTCAAATCGATTTTGATGCAAACGTTGTCGTACGCTGTTCGGATTCTGATATTTTAATCATACTTCTAGGAAATATAAATCATTTAAAGTTGTCTTTGAGAATTTGGATTAATATGGGTGTGGGCAATCATCAACGTTACATAAATGTTAATCAGGTATACCAAATCCATGGTGATTAATTATCTAAAGCTTTACCTTGTTTTCACGGAATCACCGGATGTGATTATACGCCAGCATTTTTCAGAAAAGGCAAAATTAGGCCTTTTAAGTTATTAGAAACTTCTTAAGAATACTAGTTGGCATTTGATAGAATTATAACGGATGACATAGAAATTGAAGCATTATTTATATATGTATGGTGCTAAAAATGATACCGATGTTAATAATGTTAGATTTCCGCTCCAAAAAATCTAATGAGAAGTTTGAGAATAAATATCGAAACTTTGACTCATCCAGTTTGCCTCCCTGTAAAGCCGAATTGCAACAGCATTTACTAAGAGTTCGCTATGTGACCAAGCTTTGGAGAAATGCTCACTTACAGCATCTAATATCTTTATCTCCACTGGCTTCTGATTGGACCATTATTGAAAATAAATACGATTTTGTCTGGTTTGTAGGAGAACAATTGCCATCTCAAGTTACGGATATTATTATGCAAAGTATGTATAAGATAAAATTTTATGAATAATAAACAAAATATGTTACGAATAAGATATACTAATTATTGTTACAGATCATAATTTATTAGAAAACGACAGTTCTTAAGATGACGACATAAACAATAGTGACAATGAGTGAGCGAAAGGCTAGACCATAGACAGTGACTATTAAATAACGCTATTATTATATAAACGTCCCATTTGAAAAAGAAAAACCGTGCTGCTCCATCCTGACAACGCACCAAGTCGCAAATCCGTGAAAACAATGGCAAAAAATCTCACTCCACTTTCCCACTCAATATATTCCCTAGATCTGTTCCCCACCGACCATATGTTGTTCTTAGATCTCAAATGGATGCTCGCTGTGAAGAAATTTTTGCCAAATGATGAGATGATGCCGAATTTTGTGGCAAACTATAAATCGTACTACGAAAATGGTTCCGAAAAGTTTGAAGTCTTCAAAAAGAAAACTATATTGAGTGAAATGATACTATAAGCTATTTATTTTAGAAATAGTGTATTTCCTACTTTTCCTACAAATTTGCATTTGTCCACTTTAACACCACAGGGAGCAATGCCTCTTTATTAATTATAAGAAATTTTCCGAAATAAGTGGTTAATTGTTTACCTAATACAATATTCATGGGCACATTTTTGCAAAAATTATTCCAAAATATTCATTAGCAGAGTTGGAATAACTATTTAATCCATCTCTTGTAGAATACAAATTTTTATTTAAGATACTTTATAATTTACAATTATCTTATTTTTTACACTTTTGACACTGTGTAAACTATATATAATATAATTAAATGTGTGTTCCTTTAAAAAAAAACTAGTATGGTGCATGGCATCGTGCCTTAAGGCAAATTGCTGGAACTTCCGGTACCGTAAATAAAAGTCTTGGTGCGGAACCCAAAAAAAATTACACAAAATGTGTGCATATTATTAAAATCTCTATAAAATATCTGATAATTTGATGTACATATAACCAATAAACATTTTTGACATTTTTTACCTTATTTTTATTGAGAGTCCATAACCGCTGGACCTGTCTTCCCAAAAATTTAATCAGTCAATACAAGTAAAATGTTTTTTGAATTAACAAAATCGGACGCTGCGTTCTCTTAAAAACTGACTAACCGTTTTTGCACTTTTTGACCCGTGTCTTCGGAACGGCTAAACCTGCCTTCATCAAAATTTAATCAGCATGTCTCTTTATCAATACGAATCGAATATTTACTGAATTATTCAAACCGGTTGATCGGTGTTCCCGAAATCGTCGACTAAAATTTGTATCCGCACACATACTCACACACATACACACACATATATCCATTTTTTCTAAGATATGCCAAAATGTCCAAAAACCTTTAAAGCGTAAAATTATGAAATTTTCGATTTTTTGCCTTCAAAATATTTAAAAGAGCGTTAGAAGTGATCAACCCGCAATAAAAATAAAAAATAAATCCCGTTGCAAAAAATTAAGTTTTCACATTACCTAATCAAAATTTGAATCAAAATTCAATAAAAAAACGTCTATAAAAAACGATAATTGACCAGTTAGATTAGAAATGATTAATTAAATTGGGAAATGTGGTAGAAAGGTTAAAATTGAGGGTGGCAGACATGTATATTTGTATGTAAAACTCGTTTTAATGCTGGAACTATCAATACATTAACCAATTTTTAAAATATTTAATTGCAAACAGATATCGTAATTTTGTGTGTTATTAAATTTTTTACTGGTGTGTGTTCCAAAGTTATGTTTTGTGTTATCAGCCGAATAGTGACACGAAATAAATTATTCGACAAAAAGTCTCCTTCGATCGATTCGAAACGTAGGATCTTAATTTGAATAACCTGAATGAAATAATAATATAACCCATTTTTTTTTAAATTACAAATTAGTATGAAGCTATACACATGAGTTCTTTAAGGACACATAGATTAAATACAATAAAATTTGCAAAAAAATGTGCTATAAATCCAAAAACTGTATATTTTTTATTAGCATTTAAAAAAAGTTTCTTATAACACTTCCAAACCTTTTAATAATGTTTTTATATACAAATAAAACTATTTACTACAAATCGAAAATTTGAAGATGCATTGTGAACGCACCCTGGTATAATGCAAATGACACTCTACATAAAGACTTAAAAATAAAAACTATTAATGAAATGATAAAAGAAAGGAGCGAAAGTACCACAAAAAAACTACCAGATCACCCGAACAAATATTTAAAAGAATTAAGCGAAGAATCTCCTAATCGAAGATTAAAAAATATGGCCACACGACCTTAAATAAAATGTCAAAAAATAAAAAAAGAGATTTCTCATAGGAGATAATCTCTTTAAATGCATTTACACCCAGCATATTATCTTAAAAAATTCTATTATTTTGATCGGCAATAAATCTATGCAAATAAAAAAACCCTCTGAACATAATCATTTGACATTTGACGTATGAGCCGCAGTCGATTGTTTCATTTTAAATTACGCTTCTACAAAAAAATCAAAGATGTAAAGTTTCTACGCGGTGTTGAAATTATAGCTCACGTTTTGCACAATCTCCGGATAAGCACAAATATTTCAAAATTAAAACTGGCCAAATCGGTTTAGCCGTTCTTGAGTTTTAGCGAATCTAACATAATATCAAAGTCCTAGAATGGATTCATTCAAACTGAGCTTGATTAAATTATGTTTATCTATGTTAGCCATCTTAAGTGTTTTATTATTACTAAAATTTATAGTATTTATTATAATCTATTTGAAAAATTATTGTTTAATTTTTAAAGATTTCTGATTATTTTTGTCCACGAACATTTAATTATGGTACGGGAAGTTTCAGCAATTTGACTTAAGGCACAATGCCATGCACCACTAGTTAAAATTCAAATGATTCAATACATTAAGAACATAAGGATATTGAAATACCTGTGACCGTATTCTGAAATGATAGGCTTGCTGTTCATGTAACATCGTCAGCACATAATTTCCTCCGTGCCTTTCACTATACCGTATCAAAAATATACCATCTTGCTTCTCAATCAAACTGGCAGCATATTGGTTCAATAAAGATACAGCTTCATTGCGATCTAGCGTTCCATGATACCATTCCGATCGATTTGTTTTAGGCACAGGTTGTTGGTAAGAGTCTATATTTTCAAAATGATTTTGAAATAATTAGTATACTGAGTTTTTATTAATGTTTTATATTTTTATATTCAAAAATTATAGTATGCCTTAATAAGTTATTTAATTATTTGTAACAATACTATTAATAATTGAAACATTTAAAACTATATAATTAGTTGACAATTTCGACTTGCATATTAGTACAGTGTTGTTGAAGTCTTACTTAAAACAAAGTAAGAACTTTTTAACTAATTTTATGTTTATGTCGTGGAATAAAGGATCTGATAATAAAATAGCATGATAGTCTAGTTTTCAAATAGTGGAAATTTTTATATTCAGTGGAACATGTGAATTAAAATTGATGTACCTCTCGGACCAATTATCTTTTCTACATCAATCTGTAGAACATATACCGTCTTTATTAATGAGTTTTACGTCAAGAAAATTAGAAGAGAAATCAGTTTTCAGTTTTTGGGTGAGTTGTAAAAATGAATTGTAATCATATTTTTTTTTTTAAAACATCTATATCTTTATTATAAAGTAATAGTAAAGTGTCATAAACGTTAGTTGTACTTTTTACTGTACTTTAAGAAGATTTCTGACAAAATTTCATGACAATTCGACAATTAGTTTAAAAGTTACAGATGTTCAAGTAACGCTACTTTTGAGTTTTTCAACAGAAAAAAAAGAATTCAATGCAATTTCATGTGTCGATAAAGATAAAGACGAGTGAGATAAAGAGTTTTATTTTTCGAGGATTTAAGAAATTTAAATTTTGACGCAGCACCATAATCACTGGTCTTCAGAGACGACTTATAAGGTACGTCCAGTCCTCGGTTCATCATAGTTAACGCACTTACTATCTGAACCGGACTTTCGTGGTTACTCGTTTGGTATACCCAGACCTCAGTGTTTATTGCTGACAGAAAAAAATAATTTGGAGCCTAAACTTTTCATTGGAATGCAATTCAACCTCTCCTTGTCCGTTAACTCAACAAATCGTCTTTTGATGCTACCTCCCATTATCGGTGACAGCGACGTGTCAAAACAAAATTTGACATAAATTATTTATTGGATTTCACAATTCTGGACTCTTATGTTAAAGAAACCAATGATCCTGATTTGGAAAAGAGCCAACTTCTTTCTCTGATCAGAACCCATCAGATACAAACACAACGCCTGCAGAAATGAAAACTGTACCCATAAATTATGCATTCCAAACATTAAGTAACTCTGATATAACTAATACCAAATAGATCGAGGCTGATTCTTAGAAGTTCACCGACATCGAGGTTCAGGAAATTTTCCACATGTTTTTTTAGTCAGAACCTTATGCAGAATATGGAGTTGATGGAAGGTCGATTTACCTACCATACTGTGGATCTGCCGACGAAACATTAGAATTACTAATTGACTAGTACCATAATCCTGCTATAATCTGCTTTCCCACCATATTTTTATAACGTGTTTTCCTGTATTTTTCTTTTAAACTGTGAGCTCAACACTGGGCAGGGAGTGTGTGGGGATCAAGCAGGCTAGTCATGAGAGGAAAACAATTGGATTTGTCATTTTTGATATATTTTCATATCAGTAATATTTTATAATAAATAAAATTCATATATTTTTATCCGATGGGAGTTTATACTTTAATATTCATTACTACTCCCACAAATATAAATAAAATGTTTTTTGAATTATTCAAATCGGACGCTTTGTTCTCTTTATACAGAATTACCATTTTTGGTTCTTTTTGCCCCGTATCTTTGAAACGGCTAGACCTGCCTATGCCAAAAACTAATCAGCATATCTCTTATTAATACAAATCGAATGCTTTTTAAATTTTTCAAATCGGTTGATCCTTGTACACATACACAAACGAATTCAATCCGATGCCTGAAATTCTGGTTATTCGGGCGCACAGTGCAAAAGCGAAGTGAATCGGATCAATCAATGCATTAGATGTGACCAAGAAGGTCACAAAATAGCCAATTGTATAAATGCAGCAAAATGTACGCTCAGAATGGAAGCACTGAAAATTCAGCCCATCAAGCCGGCACTCACATATGTCCTATATATAGGAAGGCCTAAGAGAAAATAATAAACACAAAAAAATGAAGATAATACAGCTGAGCATAAATCATTGTGGGGCACACACGACTTGCTTATGCAGATGGTAAGAGAAATGAAAATTGTTAGGTAGACCAACGCTGTTATTTGGTTCTTTTTTTGAAAATTTTGTTTCCAGAACGCCGTTAATAATACCAACGCTGGATTTGTAGCATCATCATTAGATGGCATACATTTATGCAACTGTTACGCTCCACCTAGTCTTTCTCTGTCAGATTTTGTTGATTTCCTAGATCGTCTAGTAGAGGATGCAAAACGACACCACCCAGTGGCGATAGCCGGTGACTTCAACGCATGGGCTGTAGACTGGGGAAGTAGAAAGACTAATGCAAGAAGTAAAGCACGTTTAGAGGCTTTTACTGCACCTGATGCTATTTTACTAAATAGTGGTGATAAGCCAACCTTTGTCAATGGCAGTGCTAGCTCAATAATAGACCTTACTTTCGTTAGCAACAGCCTCGTCAGAGAAAATTGCAATTGAAAGGTATTAGATATCTACACTGCTAGTGACCACAATGTAATCACCTGGGAAATATCAACGAATAGAAAAATTAGAAGACATGCACCTATACATTGATGAAAGCGTCATGAGAGTAGCCTTGAATTACAAAACTATTATTTCAGAATACGTAGATGAGTATACTAGAGAGCTGATGAAGAGAATAACCGAAGCCTGTGATATCAGTAAGACTCGTAAACATGGCCTAAATCAAAGACCATCTGTGCACTGGTGGAATGAAGAAATCAGCTCTCTTCGTAAAGAGTGCCATAAGAAAAGATGCATACCTCAGCGAGATTATAGTCTCACAAATTCTGCACAACTGGTAGTGGAATACAAACAGGCACGGCAGCAACTACAGTCGGTCAAGTAAGAGCGTGGCCGACTTTAACGACAGTTAATGAAAGATTTCGGTCTAATTCTTTCGTGAGCCGATAAAGTGAAGCTTTGTCCTTGATGCATTGTCAAAAAAGGTTTAGTTGCAGTTGATCTTTACGAAAAAATTACGTTAAACGCCATGAGTGCTAAGTTACGCGTCGCGCTACGAGGCTGCGCCCTTTTGCATGCACCTAAAGGTACCCAAATGTGACCCAAATGAGAAAGTTGAAGGCATTTGTACAGAATTCGATACACCTATATAAAGTTGCTAAAAATGTCGATGATTTATCAGAACGTGGTTCAAATAAAAAAGAAGAAAAAAGAACAGTGAATGGGTATTTGCGGAATCCTGCTTTAACACTGCAGCAAGGACGAGCAAAATTAATGGCAAAATGTTTAGAAATATCTACAAATATATCTACAAAACTATCTGAACCTTTCTTCGCATTCATGATCTGAAATGGCGCAACACAACGGGGAAGCCTCCGACGACTGAAAAACATGTGCTTCTTTTCCGCTTGAGCACATGAAAATATTGTTAGAGATTTTGAAAATGTCATTTTCACTGATGAAAGTTCTATATGAGCACATACTGTCCTCATCGAGCCGTTAAATTAAAATATGAGCCGTCAGACTGAAATAATCCGTTAAATTAGTAAAAAGCAGGCGTCGGAGATGCCAGGCAATTGTCGACTTGATTGACCAAATTGCATCCTTGCTTTTAACGTATACAATGCACTTATAAATATTAAAGTTTCATAAAATAATTATTTTTATAAATTAACCCGGCCACGCTCTTACTTGACCGACTGTAAATGAAGCTATCAAAGATAGTAAAGTTAGGTGCTGGAAAGAACTTCTAGATAAAGTCAAGGAAAACCCATGGGGAAGGCGTTATAAGACTGTAAGGTCTCGCCAATGCCTTCACTAACTTGTCCACGACTATTAAATAAAATAGTAACTACTTTGTTCTCACGATAACCTAATTTAAACTACCAGGTAACGCATGTAGAACTGAGTAATATTCCACCTATAACACTGCAATAACTGATGGAAGCTTGTCATCGGGTTGGAAATAGAAAAGCACCAGGATTAGATGGAAATCCTTATATTGCATTAAAACATCAATTATGACATCTCCGACAATGTTTCTTATAGCATATAATACATGTCTAAGAAAATGGATTTTTCCACGAAAATGGAAACAGCAAAGATTAGTGCTTCTTCCCAAAAGAAGAAAACCACCAGATGAACCATCATCCTACCGTCCAATATGCATGCTGAATACAACGGGAATTTTTTTGGGAAGAATAATTCACCAAAGAATAGATGCAGTAGTTGACTCACTCTTAGCAGGCAATCAGTATGGTTTTCGCAAAGGGCGATCAACTATCGATGCTATCAACTTGGTAGTTAATACCGCTAAGGAAGCAATTGCTGGAACCAAATGGATGGGGGATGCAAAAAAGTACTGTCTTGTAGCTGCATTGGATGACTATGTAGACTATGTAGCCATAGTAGTCGTCTCCTAACAAACTGATGAGATCGTAAGTCTATTTGACAAAACCGTCAGAAAAATTAATGGCTGGATGGGAACAATAAACCTGCAATTAGCACAACAAAAAAGTGAAGCTGTTCTAAGCACGAGTAAAAAAATAATAGAGACCATGAAGCTGAAGATAGAAAATCTAGAGATCACGTCAAAACCTCACATCTGTTACTTTAGCGTAATGCTTGATGCTCGATTGAATTTCAATCAACAGGTGGAACACGTTAGTTCCAAGGCGTCAACAGTTAGGACAAAACTTGCTCGACTGATTCTTAATGTTGGAGGCCCTAAACAAACTAGAAGGATATTTCACACAATATCGGAGGAAGCAGTGTGCGTCATTTCAGGAACTCTGCCTCTCTTAGTTTTAGCAGAAGTAAGAAGAACAATTTGCCATCGAAAACATCAACTACTGAGTCCTGAGAATTTGAGAATAAAAGTACGGCAAAACAGCACTGACCGATGGT